AGACAACCCTCCCCCCGCACACACAAACAACCTGCAACCTGCCCCCTTCCTTTATAGAGAGAAAACACTTACAGAAACAAGAAGCACGTTAACCCCAGCCATGAAATCCCCAGCGTAGTCAAAACATTTGTTGGAGACAATAATTTGAATCTTCCTCAGCAGAGGATTCTCCACGTAACTCATGGCCGGTCTGACTCGACGTTTGGCTACTTGGTCAAGTACAACAAACAAGTCTTGAAACTGCTTAGAATCAAGGTGACCTATGGTGTTTTGAGCCAGGCGCTAAAAATACAAGAAATAAAGCAGTACAAGCTGTAAGTATCACTGAGAAAAAGGGAAAAGTAGACGTTCCCTCCTCTCCGTTTCTCCTGGGGGGGGGGCGGGGTGGGGGGAAGGTAGGCTAAAAGAAGAAGAAGGTAGGCTAAAAGAAGGTAGGCTAAAAGAACGTAGGCTAAAAGAATCGCTACATCTAATAAAGATATGAGGTACTGTAAAATTTGCAAGCGATTTTCAAAATGAATACTGCAATGCACAAACGAGCAGATTGCATGACGGAACTTTGACAACTCAGGAAATAGAACAAGGAACCAGGCAGATGTTGAAACACTGTACACGTGACCGGCACCACGCGTGGGAAAATGGATGCAACCCAGTCAATCAAGAGGTGATTGAGTCCTTTTTTTTTGGGTACCCGACTGGTCAAAAAGCTAATTTCTCCTTACAAAATCACCCTCGAAGCACACGTTAAGGTTACGAGATTATATGAAATGATCACCAACTAAAGAAGCTGTCGATTCTTAACCAAACTCTCCTTGTCAGCACATTAGGAAATGTATAAAGAAAAGTATGGAGAATATGCACACTGGTGTTAGGAAGTAACGGGTAAAGTAAGTGCACCACCAAAGAAATGTCGTATTTGTTTCCAGTACAAGCCCTTGAGCTACGTTCGAGGCGAAACAACTCCTTACCAACAATACGAGTTGACCAGCTCTTTTGCCAATGTTTGCCTTTTCGATAGTCTTTTTGGCGTCCGCTGTGCTAATACGTCCTCTTCGCGAGTTAACAGAGGAAGACACAAAGAATTACTGATTAGTCTAAATGACACTATTAGTGCAACAGTACTCTAAAATTACAAAATCGGTTAGCCGAAAAAATTTACATCGCCTTGGTAAAATTGTCATTTGTATGTTACAGACTTTAATTCCTAGCATCCTTAACATCTATCTAATTTTGCCAATGAACATTGCCCAAAAGGTTTTTTCTAAGGGCCAGGTTTTCGCGGCCAATTCGTGACAATAATTGGTTGTTACTTACAATGGCACGTCGCTATCTTGATCTTGAATTTTAAGAAGAACCTCAAACGCGGCTCTGATTCCAACTCTTCGCCGGAAAAAACTTGCTTGAAGCGAACTCTGGAAGAACATTAAAACGTAAAACCATTCGTCTTAAATCCTAAGAGCCATAGAATATCAAAGCTGCTAAACATTTCACAATCATTAATGAGTAACCTGGCACAACCAGCTAACAAAAACAAAAAGAGAACCGTAAGAACAAATTTCCTTCTAATAACACGTTGAGGTGCCTTTCACGTTACCGCTGTCCACTAGATACGGCCACAAATCAGGCTATATCCTTAAAACACTGAACAGTTTCCATCGCAGGCTCAATGAAAGTAAAAAGGTTTTGTTCTGTTCATATCATGATGGCACGTGTCATACTGCACGAAAAGTCAATTTGCAACTGAGCGCGCGCAATATGAGTGTAACAACCAGAAAAGACAACATTTTAACAATTAAACAGCAGACTTACGGTCAGGTATCCTCTAAACTGGTTATATATGATGGCCGTTAACATATTTAAGAAGAAGTAAAGACCTACATAAAAGAAAAGTGGAATTATGGTACAATATTTACGAAGAAATGTCAAAACTTATTGACAATCTTAGTTTTCTGTACTGTTACGGTAGTTTGACGGCGTTTTTACTTAATGCGCATTGTGAATACAGAACTGAGCAGACTGAGTACATTTAGAATAGCACAGCGTTTAAATTGGACAATGTCGGACAAAAATAAGGGATTGCCGTTATTGTGAACTCCCTTATGACGTGAAAAATTTCAAGAACACAGTCTCTGCTGGAGCATCGATAATCACCCTGTACGTAAAACTATCCTCGACGTATCCTCTTAAAGATTTAAGGAGTCTGCTCGAAGGGTAAACCCTTTGGTATTCTTTCGATTTGCTTAAAAAGCCTTTTGAGACCTGGGAAAGAGTCGCCAACACTTGGACGTGCTAATCGTTCAGCACTTCATTGGAAGGACTTGAAATGGTTGAGTTGTAAGAGACGCAACCTTCAACTCGTCATTTGAATTGCCTATTTTAAAGCACCTGCTACTGCTTGACAGCTTTTCAGACCTAATAACTACCCACGTGAGGTTTTTAGCCTATTGCTACTGTGAAGTTCGTAAGTACTTACTGACGATTGAAGAGCACGCGAACGCTGGATCGTTAGCCACAACTTGTGAAACATCAACTTAAGCGTAATATTGTTCCTCTAAGTACTCACCAATTACAGTAAAAGTGATGAAAAAAATTGCGTAGAATCTGTTCTGCATGTATGCAGGCATCATCACTGTTTCAAAACAAAGAGAAACGTTTCAACTAGAAAGTAGTAAAACAGCCGAACGATGCCTTAAGACTCGATCAACCAATCAGTCATTCATTCACCAGTTAACTATTCATTTCAAGTCCGCAAGCGGGTAAAAGTCTCTCAACTCCTTCTAAGACAGCTAGGGGTCTGTTTTTTCTCGATAAAGAGAGAAATTTCCTTTCGTTAGGGAGCGAAAACTTTTGGGTCCGTAGAGATTGGGGGAGACACGAAAGTGACAGGGCGTATCTCGCTTGTCTTGCGCACGAGAAAACTAGACCCAGCCCTTTCAAGCCATACCACATTACACATCTACCCATTCCTGAGACAGTACGAAGACAAAAAAAAAAGAGACCACTGGTTGTTTAGATCTTTCCCTATTCCAGGCAATCAGTAAGTAAACGGGCGAGGAAGCAACACAGCACTACCAACGACTACAAATATGCAGCAAAAGATAGCAGGCAACTATGAATTCAAGGATGATTGGCCGGGAAAAACCCAATAAGTCAATAAGGTTGATAAGGTTGAAGTTAAAAAGTACTGAATAAAAATGTTTCAAAGGTTTGGGAGTAATCTCACAATGGTTTTGTTTGAACATGTTTTCCTTACCATCTGGGTTATTAGCTGTAGTCAACAGAACTAAAAGGCTCCCCAGAGAATCTTCCAGTCTTGGGAAATATTTATTTCCCTCACATGCTACACCTTTGCTTGAGTCATTCCTGAGGTTGCTACACGGGTCACTCTGAAATGTGAATGGGTATTGCCTGTTTATGTGCAGCATGTGATTTACTACAAGTCAAATAACACCTAAGTTAAGGTGTATGGATCTCTAATTTGACGGATCAGTGTTTGTCAGTTAGGCAGAAATTTAATGGCACTTTACCGAAAGGGTACTGTTCTGTCTTGATGCCTTCCAATGTGAAGAATATGGCATGACAAGAAAAAAATAGAGATTAAAGAATAAGTCAAAACTATAACAAACTCTTGAATGTAATTGCTCACCAATAACTTGACTTTAAGCATAAGAAGGACAGTACACAAATAATGATTGCTACAGGACAGTTGGTAGACTATTCACCAGCAATAATCAGTTAACCCCTCAGAGTGACTAATATCTAATTTCTCCTTGCAATATCCTCCTTGAATCACATTAATATCATGAGAATTAAGATAACGATCACCAACCAAAAGGAGCTTTTGATTGTTAGCCAAATTCTCCCTGTTAGCACCTTAGGAAATCTACAGAGAGCAGAATGGAGAATATGCATATTGATGACAGGGGGTTAAAGGGCTAAAGAGGATTAAGGATGTGACAGACAGTGGCCCAATATTCAGGCCTACAGTATGACAGCTAAAAGAAGTATTTAAGAAAGTGACTCACCTGTGGGAACAGCAGCATACCACACATGGCAAAGAACCACAAGTGAAGAAGAAGAAGAAACAGCACACTAAAAATAATTGTGAGAGTGCACTTAGCTACAAAGTCAATTGTAAGTAAATTTGAAGTCAGAAAATGGCTTGTACCTGAGAATTTCTGGTACTGTTCTCTTTATTGCATGTAGCTGCAAGAGAAATGATTTTGGAAAATATAAAATATCAATTATAGTTTTATGTAGCCCTTAAAGAAAACGCATATTGAAGTCAACATAACAAGGTACTTATTACACTTTGAGACTATTTTTAGGTAAGCAATTACTGCAAGCAATTACTGCAAGCATCCAAATGGTTCCAAGTAAAAACTGGCATCAAGCAAGGTTGTGTAATGTCAGGCTTCTTATTCCTCCTCACCATCGACTGGATAATGCAAGAGACAACCAGTCTAGCAAAGACAAGCATCAGACGGAAATTCACCAGTCATCTAGAAGACCTAGACTACGCGGATGACATCGCTCTGATCTCAAACAATCACGGACAGATGCAAAAGAAGACAGATAAGCTAACAGAGGCAGCTCAGAGAGTGGGACTCAACATTAGAATATCGAAAACACACACACTGAAAGTTAATTGCAAGAACAACAACTCGATCAAATTCCAAAACGGTCAAGACATCCAGGAAACAAACGACTTCACTTATCTTGGAGCATGTGTAAGTGCGGATGGGGGAGCAGATAAGGACATAAAAAGCAGACTTTGTAAGGCCAAGACAGCATTCAGGAAGTTGAGAAAAGTGTGGAGCTCCAAGCAATATAGTAAGAAGACCAAGATTAAGCTATTCAACACCCTCGTGAAACCAGTCCTTTTGTATGGAAGTGAAACATGGAAGACAAATGCTAAAGATTACGAGAAACTTGATTCCTTTCAGTACCAGTGCTTGAAGAGAATTCAAGGTATATTTTGGCCGTACATCATTTCAAAGGAGGAATTACAAAAAGAAACTGGATCCGCGCCGATGAGCATAGAAGTCAGAAGAAGGAGGTGGAAGTTTCTTGGACATGTCTTGAGGATGCCGCAAGACCACCACTGCGCTACAGCCCTCACATGGTCACCAGACAGTAAGAGAAAGGTGGGCACGCCCAAAACAACTTGGAGGCGATCGATTGAAAAGGAAAGAAGTGACACAGGTTGGAAGTCGTGGGAAGAAGCAAGGATTATTGCAAGAGACCGGCAACAGAGCACAAAGAAGACTGATGATGATGATGAATTACTGCAAGGGGTTGTTTCTCAAAACTTTAAGTATTACAGTGTGAGTACTGAAATACATTATTGCACAGTTCAGATCAAGGTGTATTACCTTCAGGGTATCAAGGCCAAGTAATATCAGGTTCAACTAGAATTGAGAGGTGCCAGCTAAGTTAAATTGCACACCCTTCCATGCATGGCATTTTTTCACACATCAACTTGCTTACTCTGGAGAAATTGTGCTTTTGGAATCTGATATACTTTCCTGAATTCCATTTTAAATTCAATATAAGAAGTCTACAATAATGATTCCTCAATTTCATCTTGTAAATTAAAGAGACAGGCTGCCCTTTCATTATTTGGGTTTTTTTTTTTTTAATTTCATCTTCTGTTTGATTTTTCTCATTCAGTGCTCTAAATCTAACTGACATGTACCATCACAAAACTCAAAGCCTGTAGTCTCATCCTGTGCAAAGCATCACTCACCAGTTTCTTCATTAATGAAGAGTTTTGTATCAAAAAGAATGGTCTGAGAAGGCGGTGAATCCTAATCAGCTGTTGAAATAAAAATAAAATATTCACAATTGAATACCAACAGTTCTGTTACACAGATCATGGTGCATAACCAAAACAAAGAAAGGCATAACTAAAAGTGCACCACAGTAAGCAGATTAAAATGATGGTACAAATTAGTGTCTGCCAGTTTGCTTGAAGTCTTGTGTATATTTAAATAGCTTTCTAATAAATTTATGTTCTCTATTTAACATATGGTAAACACCACAGCGTACACTATTGAGTTATGGATGCATGCAGGGGGTTGCTAAGCACAAAAGAAGCGTAAGAGTCGCACGAGGTGATAGCCGAGAGCAACTCTAGCTCCTTGAGTCCTTAGCAAACCTCCCAAGTGCACCCATAACTCAATCGTGTACACTGCGGCATTTACCATTTGTTTTATAACATAACATTGATACATTGTAGCAAGAGTTTCCTTTTATTTAACAAATCTTACGTGACCAGAAAAAACAAGCGCGCAGAAAACTAGTCTTTGCATTTGCTCACGTCAGCAGCGTACACCCATGGGCAAATGGGGGACGCCAAGGGCCGCTACTTCCAGGAGGGTCGTTCGTAAGACATCGGGCCCGAGTTTGAAAGCTCTCTGCCTCTGCTCACAAATGTGACAGGGACCTGAGACCATGCTTCCCTGAGGGAAGCGCACAGGCATGGGAGGACCTGACCCTCTGCAGTCGCCAGAGGAAATGGAAGTCTGCGCCAAGAGTGCTGAGAGCTACAGCTTCCGTGCGCCAGGAGTGCTGAGAGCTATACAGCTTCCATGCAGTTTGGCTTGTTCAGGTCGTACTTCGACAAGTAGCAGCGTCCATGTCCGCTGTGCGCGACGAGGCCAAGCCGTTGCTACTGGGGGGGTTCTGTTAAGTCGCACCGCCCTGTGAAGTCATGCCTTTGTGCGTGGACAGGGGGGGGAAGCCATTCTGAACAAGTCCCGGCATTCGGTGACTATTTCCCAAGAAAGCCTGCACGTGGCCCTCGAAATCCTACGTTGACGTCTGTGCCAGGAATGTGCTAGGAAGCGCGTAGCCATGGGGAAATTGGGGAAAGCGATGTGCAGCTATGCTTGTGGTGTGACTTCACACGCCCTGGTGTAACTTCCCGCGTTCCCGTGTGACCATGCGGTGTCGCGACTTCACGCGCCCTGCTTATATATGGCTTCCGCAACTCGGCGGATGACCACACAGCTGCGGAGAAGCTCATCCGGTGGCTCAAGGAGTTTGGCTCCCCGGCTCTCGTGAACTTCGCTTTCAAGAACCGCCAGAAGCTTGCAGCAATCATTGATGACGTGTGGTCCTGGGAGACTGTGGATGACTTTCTCCATGTCAATGCCCAGACACGTCTGCAGTTGATGCTGCAAGCACGGGCATCCCGTTGCTGCTGTCAAGGCATGTGGAAGCAAGTGGCCTGGCAGATGCTTCTGCGCAACCAGGTCGACGTCCGCAGCCTTTGCTCGCATGTACTGCGGAGCCTTGAGGTCGGCAGGCGTGAGGATGTGCCAGTGGTGGTCTTGATGGGCCGCTTTGGTGGTGAAGGGAAATCCTTCTTCTTGGCCCCGCTGCGAAACGTCATCGGCATGGACAATGTCCAGGCGACTCCTCAGGCAGGATCTTTCCCGTTGCTCGGCCTGGAGCGGCGCAAACTGGTCCTACTTGATGAGTGGACGTTTGACACATCCGTTATCCCACTTGCAACCCAGCTCCTTTGGTACGAAGGGAAGAGCTTCCCCATCACCAGGCCTCAAAACAAGGACTACAGTGGCCATCTCCTTTACAAAGGCAGCGCCCCCATCTTTGCCACATGCAAGGAAAAGGAACTGGCTCCGATCATACAGAAGGCTCATGAGGCCATGCAGCTGGGCCAGCCCAGTGAATGGAGCATGCTCTTGCGACGCCTCAAGATCTTTAGCTTTTCAGTTCCCTTCCAGATCGGGCCCTGTAAGATTCCGGAGTGCCCAGCCTGCTTTGCAGATCTGGTAATTTCCAACGCTTAGCCAATGCACTTGCAACGCTTATATAGCCAATGCACTTGCTAGACGACTGCAGAAATGAGCCTCACCTGCGGACTGCTAAGGGCCATTTGCGTGAAGTCACATGTGTCAGTTGGAGAGCCAGAGCGAGAGCCCTGTTCCACAGGCCATATAGGAGAGCCACAAGCAGGCCAAAGCTAGACCCCGCTCTGGGGACTGTGGATGGAGGAAATCTTGCACCACTTTTAAGAAATGTTATGTAACTTCACCCCGCGCCCCCTTCTTAACATTGCTATGAACACGGGGTTTTATGAAATCGTTCCAATGACATAAATCTTGCACCGCCCCAAGAGATCTGTCGTCAATGTTAAAAGGGGGGTGCGGGGTTGTTGCTTGGATGTGTACCCGAAACAGTGAATGTAGGTGGTGCAAGATTTCCTCCATCCACCGACTCGACTAATGACGTTTCTATAGGGTCCTGACATGCAGTGCGTGAGGTACTTGTATGGCTTGCCATGACATGTTCTTGCATCAAATTTGTCGCCGTGACGTCTGTGCTCTCGACTCTAGCCAGTGACGTGTTTCCTTAGCGCCCACTTACACTTACCGAGTCGCAGCATGGCTGGTACCAGCTGGTGCAAGATGTCTCCGGAGGAGATACGCTTGGCCAAGCGCTGGTACCAGGACGATGGCGTCAAGCCCTCGGAGATTGCTGAGAGACTCGGGCGTAGCAAGTCCGCGCTGACACGGCTTCTGGTCAAGCAAGTGCCAAGGAAGAAGCAAGGCCGAGCGCCGCTTCTCTCCAAGGCTCAGGTAGACTACCTCCAAAAGCGGCTGCATGACATGGTTGTCAAAGCCAATGCAGAGCACCGCGTGACGGTCGACATGCTCCGCAAGAGTACCAAGATGAAGGCTAGCTGCCGTGTCATCTTGGAGGCGTTGCATGCCCGCGGGGTCTACTTTCGGAAGCTGCGAGAGAAACCCGTGCTGACTGACGCGGACGTCAAAGAACGTTTGGCTTTCGCTAAGCGCTACAGAGCCAAGTCCGCGCACTGGTGGAACCAGCACGTGCACGCCTTCCTTGATGGCAAGTTCTTCAAGACGTACCTGAACGCAGCAGCGCGTACGCAAGCTGCACAGCACCGCACCTTCGGTGCCTTCCGTGCTCCAGGGCAGGGCCTTAGTGGAGGCTATGTGAAGCCCAAGAAAGGCGTGCCGTCCTACACTGGGTCGAAGAGCTCGCTCATCATGGGAGCCGTGGGGAAGGGAAAGGTGCTGCTCTGGCATGCTGTCCCGTCTGGGCGTTGGTCCGGCCAGGCTGCAGCAGACATGTATGAAGGTGCCTTGAAGCCTGCGCTGGAGAAAGCATGGCCTCGCAAGCGAGCCCATGTGGTGCTGGAGGACAACGACCCCACAGGCTTCCAGTCCAGCAAGGGCAAAGCCGCCAAGACAGCAGCCACCGTCACGACCTTGAACATTCCCAAGCGCAGCCCTGACTTGAACCCCATGGACTATTCCGTATGGAGTGAAATCAACCGGCGCCTGAGGAAGCAAGAGGCGAAGTTTCCACGCAACAAGCGCGAGACCCGTGCAGAGTACCTGTCTCGCCTGCGCCGCACGGCCCGGAACTTGCCTAGCAGCTTCATCAAGAAAGCTGTGGGCGACATGAGCCGGCGGTGTCAGCTCTTGCTGGC